TCACAGGCATTACAACAATGAGGACAGCACAACAGCTCTGTAGACCTTCAGTTTGGTAGAAAGTCTAATACCTCTTCTTTCCCACACTTTCCTTCAGAGCCTCCCAAACACTAAGCTAGCTCTGGCAATGCGTGTGTCAACCATCCCTGGAAAGTATACTGCCAAGGTAAGTGAACTTATTCACAGCATTCAATATTTCTCCATTTGCTGCAACCAATGGTTCCATGTATAGATGGTGTGGTACTAGCTGGTGGGGAACCTGTGCTTTCTTGGTGTTAATTGTTAGGCCAAAATTAGCACAAACAGCAAAGATTCTCTCCACACTTCGTTGCATCTCAACCTCAGAGACTTCGTTGAGTACACAATCATTTGTGAACAAAAAAAATCATGAGCCAATACTCCCTCTACTTTAGTTTTGGCTTGTAGCCTTTTCAAGTTGAAGAATTTCAGTGTGTCACGCAATAGTTGACTGTTATCTATAACAATATCACAAATTCCATGAAGCCATTGTTGAATCAGGGAGAAGCTTTATTAACCATCTGGGAAAGCCAGGCGTCCTGCATTGTGTAAGAGCATGCATGTGGGAGCACATGTATCAACAAATGCACACCTTTTTATTCCCTATTCCCCATTCAAATCTCCTTCCTCTGTTTCCCCATTCGCTGGGTACTATAGAGGTTACAGCCTATCCCAAGCACCTCATTTCCGGCGACGTGAGTCTCTTTTCCTAATTACTTCTCCCACTCCCCACAATTCCGATGACCCAGGCCCTTACTTGGGAACACCCCTTTTGATGTTAATCTATACCTAACCTCAGAACTGATTTCTGGCCTTCTGGTCTATTCACCATCAAGACTGTTTTCTTATTCTAATATAACTTGCTTTGTTCAACTTCCGCCTAGCCCCAGGGCTGCATTCCTTTCCACTAGACTTTTGTGGAAAAATAATAAAAAAAAAACTATTTCTCACATTCTCTCCCAGTTTAAACTGACTCCAACCTCTGATTGAGTGATATGCAGAAGCACCATCCACATGTTCCACACTGATCTTGATACAGTTTTCATCCTTGTTTAAGGTGTCTGACAACATCGCTGAAAGCATCACGCTAAAAAGCATGGGAACAAGCACACAGCCCTGCTTCACTCCACTGGTGACTGGGAAAATTTGAGAGCATGATCCATTATCCAGAACCTGTGCAAGCATGCCATCATGAAATTGGCATACAATGCCCATGAACTTCTCTAAGCAACCAAATTTTTACAAATATATGCATACAAATATATATCCCACATTATATATATGTATATGTATATATATATATATGTGGGATGAAGAAGAGTGAGAGGTTGAGTTTAATGCCAAGGTTACAAATTTGGGAGACCAGCAAGATGGTAGTACCTTCATCATAAGGAGGGATGTTTGGAAGAATGGAGGGTTTGCAAGGGTATGTGATAATAAGTTCAGTTTTAGAGGTGTTGAGTTTGAAATGTCTCTGTTTTATTCAGTGACAATTGATGATACAGAATAGAAGCTTGGGTGAGAAAATTGGAGCCGTATATGTATTACATACATATATACATACACACACAACACCTATATACATATATAATACACAGATATATGTGTGTATAATAGGCATATATTATATACATATATGTGTATAATCTGTAAGTTATCTGCATAGAGATTATAGACTAAACCTACAGAAAGAAGCCGAGAAAGAATGTAAAGAAAAAAAGAGAGGAGGGAGTAGGGCAGAACTCTGGTGAACATCCTAGCAGGGGATATGACATGAATGAGGAGCTACAAAGAAAAGGAAAAGTATCAGAAAGATGAGGTCAGAAGATGAGAAAGTTCATGTTATGAAAACCCAGAGAGGAAAGAATGTCTAGAAAGTGAAGGGTGGTCAAGAGTATAAAATGAAGTAGGTAGAGAAGGACATGGCCTGAGAGAAGACGATGGGATTTGGTCATCGTTTGCTGGTAACTGTAGGCATCATTTTCAATTCAATGATAAAGTAGGGAGCCAGATTGCAAAGCGTTGAGGAGAGAGTGAGATGAACAAATGTTGACAGTTCTTTAAATGAGTTTGGATAAAAAAGGGAAGAGAGAAACAGAACTACAATTTGAACAGATGCTAGGGTCTAGCGAAGGATTTTGGTTTTGGTTTTAGAATGGGAGAGATCTGGGCAAACACAAAACAATCCTCACTGTGGTCACAGTGGTAAGAGTACCAGATTTGGAATCAGGGGGCATGAATTCAAATAATCATAAAATATAACATTATGGTGTAGGGGCTAAAGTGGTCTTGGAAACAGGAAGACCTGGGTTCAAATAATATCTCTGACATTAACTATCTCTGATTGTGGGCAAGTCACTTAACTTGAGCCTCAGTTTCCAAATCTGAAAAATAAGGGCATTAAACTAGATGGCTTCTGAGGCCCCTTTCAGCTCTAAATTTATGATATAGGACTAAGCCGCTTTTCAGCTCTCTTCTACCTCTAATCCTAGGAGATTTCAGAGGACTAGTAAATTAACAATTTTTTTCCCGTCATGAGACTGTCTTAGCAGCGTTTTTTAACTCATCTTTTAGGTGTCTGGTATAGTAGATTTTATGTTTTATAGCATAGATTTTTCCTCATTTTCCCTGGTTTTTTGTTTCTTACTTTTGACTACTCAGTTTGTTTCTAATTTCTAAAAACGGCTTCAGATCATTTTGACAGTGGGGCCAGCATCACTCATAACAAGTATTCATTGCTTCACCTGAGTTGGAAGTGTCAGTACTAAACACAGTACACAAATTCAACAGACACCACTCCCACCTTCAGGACAGTCCCTGGCAAGTAGGGGAAAGGTAAATCAGGCAGAGGTCTAGGGGAAGTCCCTGCCTCCCCCAGAAATTTAATGATCGGAAACTTTCACCAAGCACCTTGACTTGCCCTGTCAGAAGTGAGCAGGGTAACAATGATGTAACTGCAGCTGGATTGGAAACGGGAAAATGACAAGTTGTAAAGGGTCAGCCTGGCTGTCCCCACTCTCCATGGGCTCTTTGTATTGTCACCTTGGCTGGAAGGGACCTCAGAGATTGTCACAAATGTTCACTCTTCTGATTCCATTCACTAATCAACCATTGGAAGGGAACTCCTTCAACATACCTGACACTGAGTCCAACAAATATTTATTAAATTCCTCATATACGGTGGTTGCTTAATAAAAGCTAAATTAAATTGGAGTTAATCAACAAACATTTATTTTTCACTTTCTATATGACAGGCATTGTGCTAGGTGGTGAAGTGGATAGACTGCCAAGCCTGGAGTCAGGAGGATCTGAGTTCAAATCCAGCCTTAGACACTTACTTAGCTATGTGACCCTGGGCAAGTCACTTAACTCTGTTTGCCTCAGTTTCCTCATCTGTAAAATGAGCTGGAGAAGGAAATGGCAAATCACTCCAGTATCTTTGCCAAGAAAACCTCAAATGAGGTCATGAAGAGTCTGACGTGACTGAACAACAAAGGAACAGTTTATGATTTTTAGTGTCATTTCAATATAAGAGTTTAAACCATGCTCAATGTTGGGTAATCAAATGGGAGCGGTTAGCCATTAAGAAATCTAAAATACATAATTAAGTCATGTGACATGGGAGGAAATCATTTCACTTGTCAGTGCCCAAGGCAACCCTCTAAGAGTCCAAGTTCGATGAATTTGCCATTTGCATTGGTGGAGAGAGTTTCCCAACTTGGAGCTCCCTATATCTATGAAATTACCTGAAAGCCTTGGCTCCTCCTCTCATTATACCTCACAATCATTTTCTCTTTGTTATTTCTTGGCCCATCAATGAATTTTTCCCCTAAATACTCCCTTATCAGTAGGACGTTTAATAGTACTGTACACTCAGATGCCCCATCTGAAGCCCAATTTTTTCTAGTGGTCTAATCATCCTTTTCTCTAATTTTCCATCTCATTCCTGCCTTCCAACTGTAGTTCTTTCTTGAGGGTATCAGGGTATCAGTCAATCAACACACATTTGTTAAACAAGTGCCATGTGTGGGGATTACAAAGACAGAAATGAAATAGTCCCTGCCCTCAAAGAGCTTGCATTCTATGGTGGAACCAGATTGTACTTTAAATGGATAGATGAAGAAGGCGATGGGAAGATTACTGGTTAAGGACTTAGAGAACCTAGGTCCTGCCTCCATGCTCAGTACTTCACTGGGGCCTAGGCCTCTCTCTGCTCATCAGCAAATGGAGGGGACTGTACTGAATGACTTCTAAGGTCCCTTCTAGCTCTAAATCTATTAACTAATGTAACCCCAGTCTCAAAAGCCCATTGGTATAGGGCTGGGAGAATCCCTTGCCTTCATTATACTAATGCCCTGAGTCAAATAGCCAACGTATTTGATAGGCCGGAACAACTCCGTACTGGGTTGCTGTCATGGCCCATTTAAGAGGTAACTCTTGCTTATTTGATTAATTTTTGAGGCAGTTTTGGAGCCTGACCCTGAAGTATGTTCTTCCTCTGATTTACTGCACCAAGCATCCGAAATTCCTTTATCCTTTTCCCCAGCACCAAGGCAAACTCCGCCAGCCATCTGTTAAAAAAAAAAAAACACTTCAACAGAAAAGCTTGGGTTCTAATTCTCCTCTGCTACCGTTGGCAAACGGTAATGAGAAGCTTTTCATTTGGTGTTCTTTCTATGCGGGGGCTCGCTAGATTGGCCAAGCCCGCGCGAGGTCTCACTCTTCCTCGTCTTAGGAGCCAAAGCAAAGCCAGGGCCACCTGCCCAGGAGGAGAGAGGCACATCCCGGCTGTCGGAGCCCAGGGCCGGAGGGCAGGGTTGGTGGCCGGGGCCCCGCCCGCACTGGGGACTGCAGTACCCTGCGCTGTCCTCCAGAGTCCGCTGCGTCCAGCCGAGCTAGCGCACCCCTCTTGCCAGCCGCGGCGCGCACTGACAGTTTGCAAGGACACCCCAAACGAGGCGCGTCAGCTCTCGGACTTCCTCCGGGCGCCGCCGCTGATTGGCTCCCGGACGTTTTAAGAAACCCAGGGAAGAACGCTGTAACCTTGCAGAAACTTGCCGCTGCTGCTGCTGCTGGGCTCTATCCTCTGCGCTCCGGCTTCTCCCCTCGCCGCCTTTGCCCACCCACCCATCTCCTCTCTCCGCAGCCACGGCGATGGGACAGCTGAGCCTGGCGAGGCTGCGGTGCATCTGCGTGGTGTCCACCGCCCTGGTCTCTCTGCTCGCCTACTACGTGTACATCCCCCTGCCCGCCAACATCTCCGATCCCTGGAAGCTGATGCTGCTGGATGCCACCTTCAGGAGCGCGCAGCAGCTGGTGAGCCCCCTACCCCGCGCCCTCCCACCGGCCCGGCCCTGGTAGCTCCTTTTCAGCGCCAGCTTGGAGGAACGTCCCTGGGGCGCACCCAAGCCGGGAGCTTTGGCTAACCTGCCTGCTAAGGAGGCTGCGGCCCCGTCCGCATTTGCTCTCTCCCCGTAACCCAATGCGCCGCCTCCTAGGGTTTTGTTTTTTTGTTTTTTGTTTTTAAAGCTGCCAGCTAGTTTTCTGTTTCCCAGGCAGTTTCTCTTACCAGAAGATGAATTTCCATATAGAGGTTCAGCCACAGATAGAGATGTTAGTCCCCGTGTCCCCCTCCTGGCAATCTAGAAACCCACCTCCTTCTGTTTCCGAAGACCCCGGCTGCTACGTGTTTGTGGGTAGGGAGGAGGGGCACACAAAATCGTTTGTCCCCGTCTGCTGGTGCTCTGGGGCCCTCTGTCCACACGGAACTGGGTCTAAATGCAACTTCCTAAAATCCTATGCCTTTGGGAAGGCTGCGTGTGACTTGGGGTACGCAAGGTCACACAGGTAGTCGCTGTCAGGGATGGGAGGGAAGGCCTTCCGGGAGCATCATCTGCGCATCCCACGTTTTCTATGCTGGCTTCTTAGCACAGACACTGGCCTAAGAGACGTGGGGAGAGCAGATAGCCAGTGTATGCATCCATGCCCTACGCTGGCGTTTATGAGCTTGTCTGATCAGAAGGTAAAATCTGACTCCCTTATTATATAGCCTGGATTACCCTGGAAGGGTTTATCTCGCTAATGCATTCTGGGTGTGTTTCCTGTACTTACCGACGGGAGGCTGTAGCTATCCCTAGTTTACCCTGAGATAAGGGAAGGTATTGTAGAAGGTGCAGCACCGAAAGAAGGAACTCCACTACCCTCCCTGCCCTCCCTCCCCCCACCCCCCAGTACAGGCCTTCGGGATATTCCTGTCTCTGATTTGCAACAAATCATCCTCCGTTCCTTTTGCTCCTACCTTCTAGACTTTCGTGTCCTCGGGTTTTGCAGGAATTAAAATAGAAGGGAAGAAAAAAAAAATAAACGCATGCTTCTTCATTCCTTAAAATTCCAACTTCCAATGGCCCATTAAGGGCCTTTCCCACTCAAAATTAGATGAACCAGTGAACTGATGAAGTGCCTACTTCCCACTTAATGCCCTCATTGTCCTCCATGTATTTTTCCTTTCACCTAACTGGCCTGTGTTCAGTGTTGGTTCCTTTCTCCATCCCAGACTCTTGCAGTCCTTTCTATCCTTACTGATCTCTGTGGTATTAGCATGGCAACAAATGGCCCCATCTGTAGTACTGGAGTTCCTCCTATGTCAGAAGCTGCTGAAGGAATTGGAGCTATCTTTGCGGAGGGGTAGAGGTTGGAGCTAAATGGCGGCTAACATCACTTCCAGCCCTGGAAATCTTGAGATTCTGCACTGATTGCAAGCCAAGTAATTTTCAGGCCGGAAGCTTCAATTTGGCCAAAAGGAATTTTAAGATCCTTCTTGTTCCTGCCCTCCTGAAGTTGAGTAAGCCAGGAATGATGACTTAGAATCATTGAGTAAAGTGCAGCTGGCATTTGGTGAATGCTCAGGTGAATGTTCAAGTCAGTAAATGTTGAAGTTCCTCTCTGGCCCTGTGCTAGACCCTGGTGAAACAGACAAAAATAAAAATATCTGCCCTCGAGGTGTTACAGTCTTGTTGGGAGGGGTGATGTGTGTAAACAGATAAATAAATACAAAGTGATTTAAGGAAGGAAGACCTTACATATATATAGTCAGGTCCAAACACCTCATTTTATAGTTGAGGAAACTGAAACCCAGAGAGACTAAAGTAACTGGTGTAAGGTCAGTCTGCTGGGAAATGTCAGAGGCAGGATTTGAACTAGGTCCTCTGACTCCCAACTTCTGTGCTTTTCCCACTAAATGATTGTAGCAACACTGAATAATTCCCCCCCCCCAAAAAACCCCAAGTATATGTGGGGGAGGGGTAAGAGAGGGAAGCAAATCAGGAAATATTGCCAGTAATGTTTGTTAGCAACTCCTGGTTTCCCCAAAGAAATATTGTCCAGTAGGATAGTGAAGGTATGGAGAGAAGCCAAACCCTGGTCGAGTTATCCCTCTTTTCTTATTTAGATTATAAATCTCTCAAGGGCAAAACCCCAGTCTTTGTATCCCATGGTGAAGTCTAGTGACAGATTTTTTCCTATTAGAAAAAGTATTTGTTGATGTTGAAGTTGAGTAGCCATAGGTCTTCAGGTGACTCAGTGGATAAAACCCCAGACCAGGAATTAGGAAGACTCATCTATGTGAGTTCAAATCTGGCCTCAGACACTTACTAGCTGTGTGACCCTGGGCAAGTCACTTAACCCTGTTTGTCTCGATATTCTCATCTATAAAATGAGCTGGAGAAGGAAATGGCAAACCACTCCGGTATCTTTGCTAAGAAAACCCCAAATGGGGTCACAAAGAATCAGATGTGACTGAAAAACCACTGAACAACAAGAAAAGCCAAAGGTCTAAAGTAAATAAAGCAATTGGTGTCATTTCCTAACACCACGACTCAGGAAGGATTTCCTACCTCCTCACCCGCTAGGGAGAATATGTGTCTTCCACTTATCACCCAGCTCTAAGACTGCCCTATGTAGAGAATGGCTCCTTTCCTCTCTTACTGGCCATCTGAATTCTGAAGAAAATCAGCAAAGCTATTTAAACCCCAGGAAGCAGAATTCTACCCAGAATAGTAATTTTCGAAAGATGATACAAACTGAATCAGAAATGATGAAACGATCTGATAGCTGTTCTTCAAGGTGCACACCTGACATTAGGTGGACACCTGTGGGCCATTGACAGATGACATTTTGTGGAGTTTGGAAACAATGAGTCAGCAGTGTTTTATCTTTGGGAAACCTATGGGGCTGCTACTGGGGTGTGGGTTGGAAGATCTGTGACTCATTTAAGGATGGTGGACAGGCTGTAATTATTATTTTTTAGATAAAGGGCAAAAGGAACAAGGGCTTGCCCTACCTCTTGAAAAGGTGGCCAGCCTCTCATTAAGTCTGCATGTTGATTCTCTTCCCTTCTTTTCTTTCTCACTCCCTACCTTCCTTCTTTCTCTTCCTGAGGGGGCTGATCAGATAGCTGACAGTGCTTTTCTTGAGAAGAGTTCAAGGTGTCTCACAAATCTTGGGGGACAATCTACTCCCTCCTTCCAGCCCTGCAAGTCAGCTAGGTTGAAATGCATCTGTGTGATCTTTCCTCAAGTTGTTCCTTTAGGATTCTGGGCCTGCAGATGGAAAAATTCCCTCAATCAAGATGTCCACTAACTAATCTGATAAACTAATACATACTGATTAGGGGCCTAGACCAAAGCTGTTAAACTTTGGGAGTAAGGCCTCTAGTCATTTCCTTTTAATCCACACGAGTTTATCAGGTTATAGTTTTTCCAAGATGCTAGGCCTGACAAGTAGCCCTTACCTACATTGACATCTTGTAAATCTAGAATGGTGGAAGGAATAAGGGGAGGAGGGGTAGAGGGAGGCTATGGCATTAGTGGGCCGGGAATGTCCCCTGGGATGGGCAGCAGGATAATCTAGTCTCCTAGGAGAGGCAGTCCAGACCTCAGAGTGTTGCCCAAGGCTGAGAGACCTGCCCCACACCGACTTCCTCTGGAGCAACCGGGAGCTGAAATTAGGTGGTTAAACAATGAAGATGAAGAAAAGTCAGGTTACTTTAACAGAACCCCACTTCACACCTTCCTAGGTGTCATGGTTTCTAGCTATTGTGAGATGGTTACTGGTCTCAGTGCATAGAGCATTGGACTTGGAGTCAGGAAGACCTGAGTTTGAATCCAGCCTCAGACACTAATGAGCTGTGTGACCGAGGGCAAGTTGCTCTGTCTACCTCAGATTCTTCATCTATAAAATGGAGTTAATAGTAGTACCTGCCTATCTACTAATATTGTTGTGAGGATAAAATGAGGTCATATTTAGAAAACATTTTGTAAACATCAAAGTGCTAATAAATGCTGTTGTATGTATAGAGACACATTTACACACACAGAGGCTTAATTTCGTGCAACGTAAGTTTGAGAATCATCAGCAATATATAATGATCAATTTCACAAACATATTTTTTGCCTAATAAAAAATTGTAAGGTAGTGAGCTGACTGGCTGTAGTTCCCTTTCATCCAGTAAAAGATATAAATGAGTCGGTGCCAATACATAACACTTTTTGCTGTTGTTTCTCAGTTGTTTTTCAGTCTTATCTAACTCTTTGTGTGGAGTTTTCTTGGCAAAGATATTGGAGTGGTTTGTCATTTCCTTCTCCACCTCATTTTACAGATGAGGAAACTGAGGCAAACAGGGTGAAGTGACTTGTCCAGGGTCACACAGCTAGGAAGTGTCTGAGGCCAGATTTCAACTCAGATCTTCCTGACTGCAGGCTTGGCATTCTATCCACTGTGCCACGTAGCTGCCGGACACATAGTACATGCTTAATAAATGCATTTTCATTCCTTCATTTGAATTTTCAAGGAGCAAAAAGTGTCTTGGTTCTGCTAGCTGAACATTCATCAGTGTAATAAGTTCCATGGTTCTTATTCTTTTTATTATGACCAGCCTCACAGAATCACAAATTTAGAACTAGAAAGGATCTTCGAGGTCACCTACTCTGCCAGCCCCCCTTTCCAATTTTTTTCTTTTAGAAAAATTGACCAACAGCAGCATACATGAAAATTTTCTTTATAAAGAACTGAAAAGGGGATTTTTATAAGGCATTGCTAATTTCTGTTATGAGCAGCTTGATTTTTTTTTTAAAGATAAGGTAGGGGGAGTGGCAGACATAGGTCCTGAGATCCCATTAGTGGGAGAGATGCCTTTACCAATGCAAGTTGGTGCTTCCTATGCCACCTACAGTCTTAGAGGTGCTTAGAGCAGAGGTATCAAACAGGATGCCCATAGACTGCATGGAGGACTCCAACTGGATTAAAATGTAATTGAGAAA